CAGAGATGAAGGGAGCGGGAAGAGGGATAAAAACAGCAATGATGAGAGAATCATTGATCGGCTCTCCTGCACACACCCCCCACTGGGGATCGAGCCTGCAACCCGGGCCTGTGCCCCGACCGGGAATCGAACCCTGACCTCCTGGTTCATAGGTTGGTGCTCAACCACTGAGCCACGCCAAAGCCAAGGGTTTTAGATCCCCAGCACCCTGGGGCCCTGTATTTAAAAAGAACCAAAACCGTCATACTTGGTGAATCCTCACGACTCTTCCCGAGCAGTGCTCATGCTCTCCCAGCCGGAGGCCTCTAGGTGTTCATGACACAGAACTTCATTCCTGGGGAGGCGTAAGGGGACTCATTAACTCGGGCTCATTGCACAGATCACAATGGCCATGCGTCCTGGGTGTGGTGATATTAAAGTTGGCTTGAAATAAAACTTAGGCTCTGCCAACGCGGCTCAGGGGTTGGGCATCGACCTAGGAACCAGGAGGCCACGGTTCGATTCCCAGTCAGGGGCACAGGCCCGGGTTGCGGGCTCCATCCCCAGTGGGGGGCGTGCAGGAGGCAGCTGATCGATGTTTCTCTCTCATCAATGTTTCTGGCTCTCTATCCCTCTCCCTTCCTCTCTGTAAAAAATCAAGAAATTATAATAAAAAATAATAATTTTTTTAAAAAGTCAATTCTTTCTTAAAATAGAAGTAGAAAGAAACTCCATCGGTTGATATCACTTCACACAACTTGCATTTCACATCTTATGCCTTTTTTAATAAACATTTCTAAAAATGGCACCCTCTTTAATCCTTGAAATAAATCAGCGCCACAGTAATTTTAGATTTTTTTTCCCTCTGAACCATCACTTCTGTCTCAGAAATTCTGCAACTATCCCTTGTGGCAAAATGTCCTTCGCCTGCACCCCCAATTCCAGTGGAAAAGGCTTCAGCAAATGTACTTACTGTGAAGGAAGTTTTCCTCCTTAATTGCGATCATCGTTCCTAAGGCAATTGGCCTGAAAGTAAACAGATAAGAAGTGACGTGGCCGTTATGTGTAATGTGTAAATGATGTGAGCCGATAGGGGAGGGAAATATGTCAGAATGAAAGTAGCCACAATTTGAACGGCGGGATTACGGGTGTACTGTTCTTTTTTCAGAATTGTAAAGTGCTGATATTACGTTATTTTTAAAACAAAACCTTATTTTAAACTGTATTTTATATGAATACTACGTTGTACACTTAAGAATTATCTAGTAGTTTATCGAGAAATCCTCGAAGTGATTTTATTTATTTTTTAAAAAAATATATATTTTATTGATTTTTTTAGAGAGGACAGGAGAGGGATAGAAAGTTAGAAACATCAATGAGAGAGAAACATCGATCACCTGCCTCCTGCTCACTCGCCACTGGGGATGTGCCCGCAACCCAGGTCCATGCCCTTGACCGGAATCGAACCTGGGACCCTTGACTCTGCAGGCCGACGCTCTATCCACTGAGCCAAACCAGTTAGGGTTCAAAGTGATTTTAATCTATTGTGATTCGCCCCCAAAAAATCATAAAGGACTCTTGCCTGGATTTTAAAATTATCTATAATAATGAAAGCGTAATATGCTAATTAGACTGGACGTCATTCCGGACGACCTTCCGGACAAAGCCGGGGCTGCGAGGGAAGCTTGCATCCCAGGTGCCAGAGGGAAGCCGGTGCCGGCAGCTGGGGAAGGAAGGCCTGCTTTACACGAATTTCGTGCACTGGGCCTCTAGTATTTTAAGATAAGGGAAAATGGTGACAGGTGGTTTCTGACTATCTCTAAAGCATCGCTTTTTCCATAAATACTTCAGCTGGACGAGGAATACTGTGGCGTTGACTTTTCTCTGGTGGTTTTCAGGGGAATTACAGTCATGCTCACATCTAGGCACGTGTAGGTAGCAAGAGCAGACATGGTCGTGTGAACAGCGAAACGTAAGCCGGAAGTTCAGAGTGACGGCACTCGGATGGCACCACCATCTGCAGCCCGCGTCCCGGGCCACAGAGGAAGCCCCGCTCTGCCCTCTCACTGAAACCGGGGGCCGTGTGCGCAGGAAGGAAGCGCCTGCCGGTCCGAGGTCGGAGGCAGGATGGATGCGGGGGGAGGGAGAATGTACTGTGGGGTTTTCCCGAGCCCCTGACCCCCATTCAGAGTGACGGCACTCGGATGGCACCACCATCTGCAGCCCGCGTCCCGGGCCACAGAGGAGGCCCGGCTCTGCCCTCTCCCTGAAACCGGGGGCCGTGTGCGCAGGAAGGAAACGCCTGCCGTCCGAGGTCAGAGGCAGGATGGATGCAGGGGGAGGGAGGATGTACTGCGGGGCTTTCCCGAGCCCCTGACCCCCG